GGGTGTGGGCTGGCGGGCAGAGGGTCCAAGCCTCCCCCGTGGGAATTCCCCACTACCGCGCCTCTGCTCGGGTGGGCTGCAGGAGCAGGACGGCTCTTGGGGAGCGGGCAGGTGGGCGGGCAGCGCAGGCTCAGCCGCCGGGCAGGCGGACTGCGCCGAGGGTCCCTCTTCCTTGGCATCGAGAGCCAGAGGCAGTGGGTCCGGCACAGCCGGTTGCCTCCTCGGCAGCACACAACACCCGGACGTCCCGGCCTCCCCCGACAGCCGAGCCGACCTCTTCCCTCCTGTGTCCCCAGCCGCGACTTCGGCAGCCTGACTTGGGGTTGGCAGGGCGTTCTCGCTGGCTGGCCACACTGGGGGTGGGCGAAGGAAAGACCAATCCACGGGCGGCCCAACCTGGGCAGGGTCTGGCAGGCACCTCAACTGACAGAGCCTTTGGGATGGCCCTCCTTGTGCCAACACCACAAGGTGTGGGCAGCCCTTGGAATCAGGCACATGAGAGCAGCGAGATTTTTCAGATGCCCTGGGGGGAATGGCCAGAGTCCCTAGCCTGTTGGACAGCTGGACCTGGTTAGTGCTGTGAGCGGCTGTCGCCCCTCCCTGTCTCCTTTAGTGCTCCCTGACTGGCACGTGGGTGAATGACCTGGGCTCCAGGATGGTCATCTCTTCCCTCAACGATGCTGGGCAGTTCACCGGCTCTTACCTGACCGCAGTCTCTGTCACTGATAACACCATCCAACGATCGCCTCTGCATGGAGTCCAGCACCATGTGCACCAGCGGGCGCAGCCCACCTTTGGCTTCACAGTCAAGTGGAAATTCGCTGGTATGGGCACTTACAATTTGAGGTGGAGGCCAAAGGAATGTGGGGAGGGAACCTAGGGGATCTCCCCTTCCTTAGATTTCTGCTTCTTGCCAGATTCTTTCACTGAAAGTTCTTCCCCTCATTAGCTGGAGCTGCCCAAAGACTTTGAAGGCCATAAGACCTCCCCCATCTATGGAAAATATCACCCCCCCCCAGTGCTATACTACCTTTGACCTGCAAATGAGTAGTCTCTCACTGATTCCCCACCTCAGAATCTACCACCGTCTTTGTGGGCCAGTGTTTCCTGGATGCCGACGGAAAGGAGCAACTGAAGACAACCTGGCTGCTGCGTGCGGAGGTGGGATCCATGGCGGAAGATTGGAAGGCAACCCGGTAAGGAAAAGTGGGGCTGAGCCATTGTGCTTCCTAACAAGGAGGCACTAGGAGTCTTTCTGGGGCACCCTTCCCCCTCCCAATCGGCAAGCCCCTCTGCCTCTTCTTTGCTCTCCATGCCCCCCTTGAAACAAAGTTCAGT